AAATGTGTATAAGATACAGATATATATATATATATATATAGATATATTTGATCGAAGAATATTTATTAGGAAATGTGAGGCCTTAGAATGCATATATGTATATGAATTCTACATAGTTTGAGACTACACATTGTTTAGATTGAATTTGTTTTTGTAGCGTAAGTTTTAAATAGATTATAGAACTTTATTGCTTTTCTTTTGTGGATTGCTAATGTAATGATTAGGATTTGTGAAATATCTTATAGGGTTTGACGGATTTTTTTGATTTAGTGGGTGTGTTAAAATTGGTTGATTCAAGTCGTGACTTAATAGTTGCGAATGTGTTTGATTTGATCTGGAACATTTCAGTTGTGTACAGGCTTGATATTGATGCGATTGGTAGTGCTTTTACTCTCTNGGGTTTGACGGATTTTTTTGATTTAGTAAATGTGTTAAAATTGGTTGATTCAAGTCGTGACTTAATAGTTGCGAATGTGTTTGATTTGATCTGGAACATTTCAGTTGTGTACAGGCTTGATATTGATGCGATTGGTAGTGCTTTTACTCTCTAAATTCTAATTCTGGTACATGTACATTTTATTTATGAGTTAATTTGATAGCATATCAATGATAAGGTTACGAAAAGATTAGATTGTCCATAAATTAGAATCGTTGGAAATCAGTCTCTCTTAAACACANATGTAATTAAATCAAATGTTGAGTATGATTTACCTAATAAATTTTGATAATAAATAACGGTTAAGTGTAAAAATGATCATATTATCACTCCAATGTAGTATTTCTCATTTGGATGTTTCAGCTTTAATACCACACACGATTCGGACCTATTNACGATTGGTAGTGCTTTTACTCTCTAAATTCTAGTTCTGGTACATGTACATTTTATTTACGAGTTAATTTGATAGCATATCAATGATAAGGTTACAAAAAGATTAGATTGTCCATAAATTAGAATCGTTGGAAATCAGTCTCTCTTAAACACATTTACAAGTAAAGAGATGACAAATTTACTTACTCAGGTACTGTTAGCCGATCACATTTGTTAACTTCATCTTCATAGAAGCAAAGGATTGTTTACTATGAGAATAATACTACAAATAGTAGTTGAAGGATATGATTGATTTTGTAAAAATTAGTTAAAAATTATGTTTGAAATAAAGAAAAAAAATTATCAATAACACGCACGTGTCTTCAACCGATTAGGATTAGTAACATTTTNTGTTTGAAATAAAGAAAAAAATTATCAATAACACGCACGTGTCTTCAACCGATTAGGATTAGTAACATTTTTTAACATGCACCTGTGCCTCCAAGTTTTGATTTAAATTTTTAGATTTATTTCAAAAAAAAATTACAATTTTTTTGGATCATATTACAATTTTTAAGATTTAAGTTATAATTTTTTTGAGCCAAATTATCACTTTTGTGATAATTCACGATCGATCATAACATTTTTACGATTGATAAAAAATTAATTACCACAAAAAAAATGATAGATGAATCTAAAAAAATATATAAAATTTGTAATGTTTAGTACTTAATTTAAATTTTTGGGTACCCGTAGTCTTCTCATCTGCAGTTTGGTGTATCTATTTGGCTTAATGCTCGCTCACTCCTCCACGTGTGTCCTTTTCTATTTTTTGTACAGATTTCTCACCTTATAATTGTTGTTCATCACCAGCCGCACTTGATACTTGTAATCACTATATCGGGTCCAGCACTCCAATTCCATCCTACAATTGTAGATAGATCATTTGTATCAATTATATATATATAGGTAACTGTGTGTTCTACTCTACATCATATCATTAATATATATGTTTGTTTGGTATGACAAGGCGGACAATATTTTCAGGTTTAGTATATAGCCAAATGTGGCATATGAAAAGATAATTATTAGGAAAATAAGTCCTACTTTTTTTAATAAAAAACTATTAAGTCTTATCATAGTGATTATCTGAAGTCCTAAACTCCATTCATCTCATCCCCCGGTGAGTGATTGGTATACTTTTATCTCTCAATATTCCATAATTTAACTCAATGAAACTTAATTCCGAATGTGTCTTTAATCTTTGTGCTGGTCGGATCTAAATTACTGTCGTAGATACTCTACAATCAAAACTTTGACTTAAAAGTAGTTAACTATGGTGAGGTCAAACTGTAAATATCTAATGTACTGACGAGGCCATATATACTTCAGTTATTGGAGATAATAAAAAAAAAGATAATTAAAATGGGTCTAAATAGTTCCACGGCCACGTAAAACTAAATATGGATATTGTATATTATTAGGTTTTGACTTAATAAATTGGGTAAATTATATTCACATCCCCCTGACATTTGATTTAATTACACATAGGTCCCCTCACATTTCAAAAATTACAAGGAAACCACTTGACATTCGGAAACGTATGACAGGCATCCCTTTCCCTTTCCCTTGACCGACCGATGTCCAAACAAGTAACAGAAACTATAACATCATCAACAAAATATATTATAATACCCAAAATACCCTTCTACAATGTAAAATGTCAAATCTACCCTCTCATATCACTTAAATTTTTGACAGATAATGATTACATGTTAATCTAATTCAATTAATTAATTATATATATATATATATATATAAGAATAAATATAAATTTAGGAATAGAATAATTTATTTTAAAAAATAGGGTGGGTGCATTAATTAAACTTACCTAACACATCTATTGTTTTAAAAACCATTGTTTTTAAATTATGACACCACTAATTAGGCCAATTAATTAGCAAATTTTACCCCGGTTAATACACCATTAACTAAGGCAATTATGGCACCATCACCAAGTATTATGGGCCTCTAGAATCACCACCACCCACCAACCTCCTCAACTCCCCCACCAGGTAGAGAAAGAGATGGCAACTGTGAAAAGACACCACCGCCTCCACCATCCAACAACCCACCACAAATTCCACCATCCGAAACCCATCACCTCCCCCATCCGAAACCCACCATCAATCCTACGGCTTCCACCATCCAAAACCCATCACCCATTCCACGACCTCCACCATTCGAAAACCCACCACGACCACAAACTTTCCCATCCAAAACCCACCACCCATTTCACCACCTCCACCATTCGAAAACGCATCACCACCACCACAACCTTCACCATCCAAAAACCCAACGCCAACGCCACCATCCAAAACCTGCCACCAAAGAGAGAGAACCACCTAGGGTTTTTAGATCTACACCTAGGGTTTGTAGAGACGTCTGTAAGGTGAGGGGAGGCGACTGTGAGGTGGACATGGGGGAGGAGAGGCGGGGGAGTAGGTGGCAGGGGCTTAACGAGGAGCGGAGGTGGAAGACTAATAATAGAGTCGTTGAGGGGGAGAGAGAGGATCTCAGCTGTGGTGGGTGAGCACTAACGAGTCCGGGGATATTTTATATAATATTTTTGTAGTTATTTTTATCAATTAAATAAAGGACAAATTTGTCTTTTTACTAACTCTATCAACATCTTTTAAATATTGGGGTCTCAGTGTAATTTCTAAAATATGAGGGGGTCTTTGTGTAATTAAATCAAATGTTGAGTATGATTTACCTAATAAATTTTGATAATAAATAACGGTTAAGGGTAAAAATGATCATATTATCACTCCAATGTAGTAGTATTTCTCATTTGGATGTTTCAGCTTTAATACCACACACGATTCGGACCTATTTATGACTTGGATTGAGACCCATAGTCCATCCCAACCATTTATCCCTCGGAAGAATTGGCCTAAGTTATTCTTCCGAATACGGGCAGCATTTGCCCCCCCTAACTATGAATTCAAGTTTATTTTACTCTTTGAACTATTAAATTTTGTTACATAGGCCTATTGGCACAACTACTTGAATCATTTTTACGCTGCTCAAATGCAAATGTGTTGCTATTTTTTTTGAATGAAAAAATTGTTAATGTGTCGGGATAAATGGAAAAAAAATCATGTAGTTTGAAAGATAAAATGAAATAATTTTATAAAAAATTTATAGGGGGGAATTAATAATTTGAGCAAGTTGAAATCAATTACATAGTTAATGATACAATATAAAAAATATGATAACTATTTAATTTTTTCATATTATCTCTTCCAATAAATAAATAATATTGTAATGTAGGTTATCATATTATTTTTGTTTGATTGTCCGTTTATTTTGTATCAAATTAATTAAAAATCACAAAACAAACGAATGACTAAATATAAATAAGATACTAAGTAGATCATATTATAATATTTTTATTTCTTTTTTGTGNGATCAGAAATCACAAAACAAACAAACGATTAAATATAAATATGATATTAAGTAGACCTTATTATAATATTTTTATTTCTTTTTGGCAATAATGTGAAAAAATCAATCATTTTATGGACAAAATTAAATTTACCCTTCAAATCCGATTANAAAAATCACAAAACAAACGAATGACTAAATATAAATAAGATACTAAGTAGATCATATTATAATATTTTTATTTCTTTTTTGTGAAAAAATCAATCATTTTATGGACAAAATTAAATTTACCCTTCAAATCCGATTACTTTTTTTTGCCAACTCATCAACAAGTTTTCCACTTCAGCAGAAGATTTACGACGCCAAGCCGCCACTTCCCAATGAATAACGGCGGAGATTTTCTAGCAGGGGCAATTTGTAAATTCCACAGTTCGAACCTCTCCCAAATAGAGCGCGCAGTCACGGTGTAGTTTTTGTAACAAACATTTGAAACTCCAACAAACTTGGAACCTCCAAATCTGTTAAACCCCTCAACAACAGTCTCTCTCTCCGAGTATGGGAAATTTCAAGAATTGAAGTCTTGGAGAAAAAGAACGTCCACTAGCTGCAACCATGTCAAACGATATTTTTGAAGCCAGCGCGAAGAGAAAGAGATCTCCCAAGTACTATGGCCTACACACTTTCGCCGATCCCGGTTGTCCGATTGCTCCCTCGGGTCCTTTCCGTGACAACATTCGCTTCTTCCTCCAAGAATGCGCCGAGATCGAGGACTACAATGTCGATGGTATGCCCATTTGGCGCACATTTCTGGTTCACGAGAACAGAGGCTTCATTGTTCCTCTCTATACCATTGAAGAAAGTGTCAAACACTCCCTTCAACCCTTCTGTGATCACTGCCGCTGCGCTGGTAAGTTCAAAAATCAATACCCATTTCGTTATTTCATCGATTTTGCAATTGGGTTTGTTGAATTTGGTTTTGGATTCAATTTGGTGTTGTCAAAGTATGGTATATTTTGGTGTAGGTTGGAGTCATCATTTTATGTCGAAACGCAAGTATCATATGATCATCCCTGTGGATGATGAGTGGAATAAGCCTCTCAATGATGACGTTTTTGATGTGCGAACCCATCTTTTGCACGGTTTGATTCACTGTAATGGGTTTGGCCACCTGCTCACCATCAATGGAATTCAAGGCGGGTCTGCGAACCTGTGTGGTCGAGAAATCATGGATCTTTGGGACCGCATTTGCACAAATCTTTGTACCCGGTAACACGAAACTCCCGAATTACTAGATTTACCTCAGTTTTTATTATGACTACATGTTGTGAATTTCTTGGACTGTTGTTTATTTTACAGGAAAATTTCAGTGGAGGATGTGTCTAAAAAGGGATTGATGGATCTTCGGTTGCTTCACGGAATCGCATATGGACACACCTGGTTCGGTAGATGGGGCTACAGGTTCTGCCATGGTAGCTTTGGAGTGACCGAGCACCACTATGAAAGAGCAATTGAAATTCTCAGCTCGCTGGAACTGGATAAAATCATTCACGGTTTTGGTTCCACGAACACATGCAGAGTTATCAAACAGATCATTCAATCTTACAGAGATTTGAGTGACACCAATTTGATCACAATCAGGGACCTCCTCAAATTCATGCTTGGACTTCAGTCCCGTCCTCCACCAGGAAGAAATTCACCATTTGCTACCCCTCCATTGTCGTGTTCTTCGGAATCTCCAACAAGAACAGCTCTGCAGGACAAACCTATGGTGAAGGAAAAACCTTTGAAGTTTCGAAAATTTTCCACTGTTGCTGCCAATTTGGACAGCCGATGGCCTGTAAGAAGGCTAGAGTACACGGCAAATATCATTGTTGATGCATTGAAAGAAAAGAAAGCAACAAACAAGTTTGACAAGTGTGCCATGACTAGGCAGGAAGCACGAGACGCTGCTCGTGTGCACATTGGTGATACAGGGCTGATCGATTATGTGTTGAAATCGATGAATAATGTACTTGTTGGAGGTTACATTGTCCATCGTGCTGTGAATCGATCAACTCGGGTTTTAGAATTTTGGATTCAGGAGGTTGGGGATGGTGAACAGGTTGATCAAGAAATAGAAAAAGTTCCAGAGCCGGTTAAGACACCTGCTATAGTGCCCGGGGCTAATGTCTATAGCGACGTGTCCTACTTTTATGCCAATGTACTTCTGGGTAACCCTGGAACAGGAGTGATTAAATTGGCAGTTAGAACAATTCTGAATAGCAAACACTTTGTAAAGGAGTGGCCATTTAAGGATGGAGATGACCAATTACTGAGATTCATTTGCAATTTAATGCCGAGTCTGAGTGATTTAGCAGCTGAATTTACAAGGAAATTACCACCCGGGGAGTATATCACGGTCCCACTGTATGCTACAATTGGTGATGTGAAGGTAGCGTTGCAGACTGCAATGAGGGACACTTACTGCATTACGGAACGATTAGTGGTTACTGATATTAAAGAAATGGAGGGAATGGAAGATGAGGAAGTGCTTTTTGGTGCTGTCGAGTCAGGTTCAGAACTTTGGGTCAGATGGTGTGGGATAGAATTGGGCAGTGATTTGAAGTATGAAGGTGGTGCCGACAATTGGAGGGTCAGATGCAGCTGTGGGGCTCAGGATGATGATGGGGAGAGGATGGTGGCGTGCGATATATGTGAGGAATGGCAGCACACTCTCTGCAGTGGCATTGAGGATTCTGAAGCTGTGCCACCTCTGTTTGTGTGCACCATGTGTTATGCTTCCCTTGTACCACCAAGACCCGAGCCTAGCTTCGAGTTTGAGAGTTTGATGCCTTCACTGCTGCCTCCTATGTCCGAGCATCATGTGGAGCTCCTGTACTGAGCTTGCTTGTTGGAAATTATGTTTTTTCAATTTTCGTGGTCATAGTATTGGAAGGTAAAGGATGGTTCATACATATGACTAATTGTTGCTGTGGAGTTTCGTTACCATAGTGTTGACACCAATCTGCGGCTGATTTCAGATTGTACTGTTGTAATACATGTAGTAGGGATAGGTGACTGAGACAAGACACATGTTCAATTCCTTGACATTCGAAAACAAAATTCAATAGATAATTCTTTGTGGTCATTAAGGATGAATGTATGGCTTTTCCTTTTCTCATAATTGGTTACAAGGATTTCCCAAATGATGTGAGTTCACTGAATCCGTGTGGTATGTTAATTATAGGTANCAAATGATGTGAGTTCACTGAATTCGTGTGGTATGTTAATTATAGGTAAGGTGTTTGCAAAATAAGTTGACAATGATTTTGNTTTTCTCATAATTGGTTACAAGGATTTCCCAAATGATGTGAGTTCACTGAATCCGTGTGGTATGTTAATTATAGGTAAGGTGTTTGCAAAATAAGTTGACAATGATTTTGCTACAACAGGGGATGTAGACATGTATTGTATACGGAATATATTTCAGCAGCATCCAACGGTCAGGCATCCATCGTCCAACGCTTGGGCATCTATCAACTTCGAAAAGACAAAAATTCTGAAATTTTGTCCCTAAAACTGATGTTTTTCTAAATGTAATGTTGCAAGCAAAAGAGACACAATTTTTGCCCCAGTGCCCCTCTGATCTTCCATCCTTGCTTTTCTCAGCATGGAAGAAGGGGATAGCCCAAGAGCTCAAAATTCTGCAGCAAAATGATAAGTTTGTAAGAGGGTGCTCATGATCCCTTACATCAATGGCATATTCATTTTACTCCCACATTTACAATTCTTTCAGATCCCCAACTCAAAAGCCCTGGAAATATCCTATCATAAAATACACATGGTCTCTCAAAAGTCATAACACTAAGGCATAGAGTCCAACAATCAACCTATTAATCATGACACCCATCAATAAAAGGATTTGAGCTTCGTTAGTTGAAGTGATAAGCAAAAGCAGAAATGCGGATGTGAAGTAATAAAGATGAAACGCAATGACATAAAGCCATAGCTGTAGTTCTATCATAGTTCTAATTTAAGATGCATGAATATGTATGTGAAGGCAATTTTGTAAGACTTACTGTAGTGGTGCCCTGTGAGGCACTCCTTTCCTTTTCCTGCTGGTGCCTGCTTTCACCTCTTCTCTCCTTCTCCGCCCCGACAGTAAGAGAAGGCAGTTCCGAGCTGTCCGACTTGCTTGAGAATGCCTGCACCTGGGAAATTGGGTTGAGTATGAAAACAATGGTGCCAATGAAATAGCCTACCTCATTTACCATTTTTCTTACCTTGCAGGCAATAGAACAGTAATGGTAGTTAATTGGGTCTTCCAATACTCTTTTGCACACATCACAACCTTCATCCCCATGGGTTTGGGAACTTGAGTGAGGAAGGGAATAAAGAGTTATCACCCGGTGCTTGTTCTTGTATGGCTACAACCATGCACAAATCAAGTACCACTCAAGTGAGATTTTTTTTTTTTTTTTCCATTTGAAAGTAAGATGAATTATTTATAGTAAGTAGACTTATATACCAACTGGTACCGTTTACTATGGAAATTATTGTAGGGAAGAAAACAATTTCATCACATAACAGAAGCATAATTCATCACTACGTTATAAAAAAAAATTGATATAAATCTTAGTATAGAAATAATCTATATTGATGAGCCCAAATCCAATTGAACCAGACCCAATAAATCAAGTAAGACTAAGTTAGCTAAAAGGTAGGTCAAGTCTAGTTTGTGAATTCAATCCAACCCAAGGCCCGAAGAGTCCAAGAAGAATTAAAGCACGTGGAGAGGAATCAATAGGATACACACTCTCGATGATCAAGACTATTTTAATTATACTTACCTTTTATAACTAACCTCCCCGAAGATCTAGTATATTCACCTTCACGTCACCGCGTCAACTTAGGCTCTGTGCCTATAAATTGTAAGTCCTCTACATGAAATGACACATTAAGCTCTACCTATACGCCTCTCTACACACACATAGTTTTTCTCCTAGCAATTGTACCTCTCTCGGAGCACACCTCTTCCGGAGCTTTCTCTCTCTTACTTTATTCATCAATAAAAACCTCCTCAACCACCGTTATCATTTTTTAGAGTGGAGTAGGTCACCCGGACCGAACTAATATATATTTGTGTGTTAACTCAATATTTATATTACTGTCATTAATTATTTTATTTATTATCTATTAATTATACTTTATCACACACTCGACTGTTAATCTTTTACAAGACTATTTTGTGCATCATCATATATNGGGATACACACTCTCGATGATCAAGACTATTTTAATTGTACTTACCTTTTGTAACTAACCTCCCCGAAGATCTAGTATATTCACATTCACGTCACCGCGTCAACTTAGGCTCTGTGCCTATAAATTGTAAGTCCTCTACATGAAATGACACATTAAGCTCTACCTATTCGCCTCTCTACACACACATAGTTTTTCTCCTAGCAATTGTACCTCTCTCGGAGCACACCTCTTCCGGAGCTTTCTCTCTCTTACTTTATTCATCAATAAAAACCTCCTCAACCACCGTTACCATTTTTCAGAGTGGAGTAGGTCACCCGGACCGAACTAATATATATTTGTGTGTTAACTCAATATTTATATTACTGTTATTAATTATTTTATTTATTATCTATTAATTATACCTTATCACACACTCGACTGTTAATCTTTTACAAGACTATTTTGTGCATCATCATATATAATAAAACTAGTTATTGTTTGTGTTTGAAGTCACAAAGTAATAAAAAATGATAAACAATAAACATATTTGTATTCATATCTAAAATCAAATTACAAACATAGAAAAGAGATAAAATAATTTAAGAATCGATTTTATAGTTGAGATGTGAGGTGGTGGGCAACAATGGTGGTGATAGGAGACGGTGATGGTGTGTGATGGGTGGTAATGACCGTGGTGGCGGTGAGGATGGTGGTGATGAGTGGCGGCGGCGGTAATGGTGGTGACGGTGGCAGCAGTGATGGTGATTGTGGAGGNTCCTCAACCACCGTTACCATTTTTCAGAGTGGAGTAGGTCACCCGGACCGAACTAATATATATTTGTGTGTTAACTCAATATTTATATTACTGTTATTAATTATTTTATTTATTATCTATTAATTATACCTTATCACACACTCGACTGTTAATCTTTTACAAGACTATTTTGTGCATCATCATATATAATAAAACTAGTTATTGTTTGTGTTTGAAGTCACAAAGTAATAAAAAATGATAAACAATAAACATATTTATATTCATATCTAAAATCAAATTACAAACATAGAAAAGAGATAAAATAATTTAAGAATCGATTTTATAGTTGAGATGTGAGGTGGTGGGCAACAGTGATGGTGATAGGAGACGGTGATGGTGTGTGATGGGTGATAATGACCGTGGTGGCGGTGAGGATGGTGGTGATGGGTGGCGGCGACGGTAATGGTTGTGACGGTGGCAACAGTGATGGTGATTGTGGAGGCTGCAACGGTGGTGGTGATGATGGTGGAGGAGGTGACGGTGACAATGGTGGAAACGATGACGTACGATGGGGGCAACGAGGGTGGTGGTGGTGGTTGTGGAAATGGTAGCGGCTGCGATGGTGGTGGCGGTGACAGAGGTGGTGGTGTTGGCGACGGTGGGGGTGGTGGTGGTTGTGGCAGTAGTAGCGGCAGTGATGATGGTGGTGGCGGTGGTGACGACGACGGTGACGACGATGATGGTGGTGGTGACGTCAACAATGTGGTGGTTATAGTAGTGGCGGAGACGACGACGACAATGGCTGTGACGATGGTTGTGATGGCGGTGGTGGTGGTAGAGGTAGTGGTGGGGCGGTTTCAAACACTATTTTTTAAAAAATATTTATGAAAAATAATTTCTAAAAATACTTTTAAAAAATTACTCCAAACACACCCTTAGACCCTATTTTTCTTATTAAATTTAGGGTGTTAATATTATCCGTTAGATTAATTTTAAAGTAAAATTTAAAAGCAATTTTAACCGCGAATGACAAAAGTCATTTTGTTTATCTTTTGAGATTTGAATTGTAAGTTATTTTATTATATAGACTAATNGGTGTTAATATTATCCGTTAGATTAATTTTAAAGTAAAATTTAAAAGCAATCTTAACCGCGAATGACAAAAGTCATTTTGTTTATCTTTTGAGATTTGAATTGTAAGTTATTTTATTATATAGACTAATTATTGTCTGTGCCTGAAGGCACAAAGTAATTAAAAATAGTAAACAATAAACATATTCGTATTCATATCCAAAATTAAATTACAAGCATAAAGAAGAGATAAAAGAATTTAAGCATTGATCTGTAACGAGGGTGAGAGGTGGTGCGCGACAGTAGTTATGGTAGGAAACGGTGATGGTTGTGATGGGTGACAACGACCACAGTGGCGGCGGCGGTGATGGTGGCAGTAGTGGGGGTGATGGGCGTGGCGGTGGCAGTGGTGAATGGTGGTGGTGGGGGTGACGACATAATTTATTATTAGATTATGACAACATAATCTAATAATAGATGTGTATGTGGCATTTTACGATAAGAAATTATTTTCGACTATTTTGGTAAGAATATAAATTATAATTAATTCGTGAAGATTCTCGGTACCAATATCATTAATTACTTCAAGAATGTCTTTTGTTTTTGTATAATCCATAATAAATTAATAGCCTTTGGCTACTTGACGTAATATTATGATCTATTTATTTTCAATAGACATAGTACAATTTGTTTTAATTGTCATCCTTATATTATTCAAAGCACTATAAAATTTTGGCGTTCAATCAGATTAAACTCTTAAACTTAGATCCTACGTGTTAAGCCACTTTGAAAAAATGGTGGCATGTCTTGCAACAAGCCTTAATAAATGCTAGCTAAAATATGTTGTACTAGTATTGGCTAGCTCTACCTAGCAACTTAGTGCGAAAGGGGGTAACTTGTCTAGTTGAATTCAAACTAAGTTAATGAATATACAACTCATGAACATAAATTCTTCTCATGATTTTAAACTCAATTTGTCACCAAAAAATAAAAAATAACAACTGTCATGNTAGCTCTACCTAGCAACTTAGTGCGAAAGGGGGTAATTTGTCTAGTTGAATTCAAACTAAGTTAATGAATATACAACTCATGAACATAAATTGTTCTCATGATTTTAAACTCAATTTGTCACCAAAAAATAAAAAATAACAACTGTCATGTAACATATAGTGTAGATATAATGATCGAACAAAATTTGTTTTATGGGATAAAGAAGCAATAGGGTTACTTGACGTTAACACATCATCTGAAAAATCTTACTAAAACACTAAAGGTAGCAAATTGATTATCTTACACAATTATTTCATTAATGCCTTCATACCTAATTTAAAATTTAGAATTTACTCTTTATAGCTTAAATGAATGTTTTTTACCTCTTATATTATGACAACATAATCTAATAATAGATGTGTACGTGGCATTTTACGATAAGAAATTAGTTTCGAGTATTTTTGGTAAGAATATAAATTATAATTAATTCGTGAAGATTCTCACTACCAATATCATTAATTACTTCAAAAATGTCTTTTATTTTTGTCTCTACCATAATAAATTAACAACCTTTGGCTACTTAGCTTAATATTAGGATCTATTTATTTTCAATAGACATTGTACAATTAGTTTTAATTTTCATCCTTATATTATTCAAAGCACTATAAAATTTGGCATTAGTTGTTGCCTTATTCATCTATATCATTCAAGGTAGCCACTCTCAATAGTTGTCAATACCCCATACAAATCCATTGCCACATATAACCATTGAAAGATAAGGCAGCTGAAAATGGCATGGTGGGTAAATGATGAAATTCATGGCTAAGAAGCCTTGTTTTATACGGTTTTATAAAGAACCTAGTATTTTATGTTGGGTTAAATGCATGCAAGCTACAACTGAATGAAGAAAAAGTGTGTTTACAATGGCATTAACCTCATGATTTTTGCTACAAGCTATCCTTCTAATTAGCATAGATAATGCCAAGTGCTCTGTTGTTTTTTTTTGGGTTCCTGCATTATCAAAAAAATTAAACTAAGTTTACTTAAACACTTGCTTTTGTAGAAGATGACGGATATATTGGTCAAAGGGAAAGGAGGATAAATATCGTCTGAGCTATTTATTACTAATTTCTTTTTGAAATTTCCCTATTGGATCTTATACTAATCCTTACGCAGGTTGCCTAATTATAGCCTTGTTTAGAAGGGGGATTGCCTTATCATTACACTGTACCTTTTTAGACTTCTATAATTAAGTAGGTAAAATAGAAACAACTTTTAATTCTTAGAGTATTAATACACTTCAA